AGAATGACAGTTGTATTGTATAGGTTGCATTTTCCTCTTTTTAAGTCCTGCTTCAGTAGGGAGTGAGACTGTCTCCAAAAAAGAAAGAAAAGCCGGGCGTCTGTGGTCTTGAACTCACAGAGATCCTCCTGCCTCAGCCTCCTGAGTGCTGGGATGACAGGCGTGGGCCACCACGCCCGGCTGAAGATGATATTCTTCTAGTGATGTATTATTTTACTCTGCTGTAGTGCTTGATATAATCGACACCGAATACTGAACACCCGATTTAGAAACAAGTAAAATTCTCCACCTCTATTTGAATTTACCTGTACATTTTCTTTACTACATTCCTTTTCCTTCTGCCCAGAAGGAATAATTACCCCAAATTCACTTAAAGATGAGTTTTTCTAAGAGTTTTACAGTTTTTAGCCTTCACATTTAGGTCTCTGAGCCACGGTGCGTTAATTTCCACGCGTGGTGTTAATTAGTAGCTTCCCTCTCCCTGGAAAAAAACACCCCACACTGTAAGGAGGAGGCGTGGACTCCGTCACCCATCCTCAGCCAGCTCCCAGCAGGCGGAGGGCCAGGGGGGAAGGGCCCCCCATGGCAGCCAGAAGGCAAAGGACAGGGACATGGCCCTCCCGGCCATCTCCTCCTGCCTCTTCCACCTCCTGACAGCACCTTCAGCTACCAGACTCAACCACAGATGACCCACAGGTGTGCACCACACCCGTGATCCAGCCGCCTTCCACACCCATGAGGCTTTGCGGAAACATTTTAGTTCTCAACCCTAAAATGGTGTGAGGTAGGGATCCAACTCCCTTCTTTACCATGTGGACATTTGGTAGTCTCAGCACTACCCCTTTTTTTGTTTTTTGAGACAGGATCTCACTGTGTAGTCCAGACTGGCTTTGGATTCACTATGTATGTAGCCCAGGCTGGCCTTGAACTCGTGGTGACCCTCCTGCCTCAGCCTCCCACATGTGGGGATTACAGGTGTGTGTCACTGTGCCCCCTTATTCTTCAGCTGCTTTTGGTGAACAGATTCTTTTTTGAATGGTCTTGACATTATTAACTCACTTGGCTATAGATCTGTGACTTCCATTTTGGATTCTCATTTCTGTCCCACTCTGTGATACCAGCAGCAATGTGTTTGGAGTTTAGACACTGGAAATTGTGTGTTTTCCAACTTTGTTGCTCTTTGTCAGTTATTTGGATTAGGGCTGGGGGTTTAGCTCAGTGATTCTGTTTCCTGGTTTGCAAGTGCAAGGTCCCCAGGACCAAAGAACAAAAACTAAAAATACTTAGTTATTTGGATTATCTGGAGTCCCTTGCAATCCATATAAATTTCAGGGTTGGTTGGCTTTTCTATTTCTGGGGGAAAATAGACATTGCGTTTTGGTAGAGATCACACGGAATCATAAATGAGGTTCAGAGGCATTGCTGTATAGATAAGTATTTGCTGCTAATATATTTACCCTCAACTAACATATGTTTTGTATGTCTTTAAATGTGCGGTGCTGGAACTATAGCTTTCTTCTTGTGCCTACTAGTTTCCCTTAGGGTATTTCTGAACTTAATCTGTAGTGTCATGCTTAGTTCAAATTCCTCCCTGTTCACGGCTGTGTAGTACTTCTTGGTGTACCTGTATCATTCACCATTCTTCATAGATTCTCCTTCTGATGGATATATAAGTTGGTTCCAATTTTTTTTAGTTTAGTTGTTTTTTTTTTAACCAGGGATCGAACTTGGGTGAGGCAGGCGGCGGAACCGCTGAGCTAAATCCCCAGCCATTCGGTTCCAATGTATGAAACGATAACTAATACTCTTGTGGACAGATGTGTGTTCTCCTTGGATACCCCTGCCAGTGGCTCTCCAAGGGTGCATCTGGGAAGTCAGTGGCTTGGTAAGAAACTCACAGTCACTCTTCATTTGCTAGAGACTGGCCTCTTGTTCCCAGATTCCGAATTCATTCTCTCTCCAATGAGCAGATTTTCTAGGGTTGAGCCATCCTTGGTTTCCTTCACTCCTTCCTTATAGAGTTGGAACGTCTTTTAGAGGTGCTGATTTTGCATTGCTAGAATTTCCTTGGGCTCTGGGCACGAAGCAGGATGTGCTTTTTAAACTATGGTTGGGTATCCCTGTGCCCTTGGGGCTCTGTTTTCTCCTCTCTTCAAGGACACACATTGTAAATTCTTTGAGGATCTGGTAAAACTCAGCCAGGCGTGGTGGGGCACACCTATCATCCCAGCTCTCTGGAGGCTGAGGCAGGAGGATCATCATGAGTTTGCCACGTCTGTTTGTGAAAAATTTGGTTTGCAAAGCAAGTGTTCAGTGAAATTTTTTGTTCAAGAATTCTGCATCAAGTGGCAAACGTGACCACAGCCCTCTTCCCCAGTATTGTGGAACGAATGAAGTTCGTGAGCTGAGGGCTGCTGTTTCCCTTTTCTTTTTCTGCAGGTTGAACTCAGTGGGCACTGAAGGTCTTGTTGAGTTTCCCATGTTGGCCTCAAACTTGTGATCCTCCTGCCTCAGCCTCCCAGTACCTGGGATTACATGTGTTCTCCATCATGCTGGACTCAGAATTCTGTCTCTTTGGGCCATGTGTTTCACTGAGAGGCGTCTTCCTCTTGCAGACTTAGAGGTTATGAAGTATTGTTCCTATGTGACTGTCCATCTTTACCTTTTTTTGTTGTTGTTTTGTTTTTTGTTTTTTGAGACGGGGTCTCACTATGTAGTTGAGACTGACCTGGAACTCACTATGTAGCCCAGGCTGGTCTCGAACTCACAGCGATGCTCCTGCCTCAGCCTCCCGAGTGCTGGGATGACAGGTGTGCACCACGACGCCTGGCTGTCTCTGCCTCTCTTTGCAGTGTACTCTTCCCACTGTTCACCGGAGGGAAGGAGGCTCCCCAAGCCAGCTCTGCCGCCCCTACAAGGATGCTCCTTTTCTAATCCATGACCTATTAATATAATTTTAGTTGCCCTCACAAAATGAAATAGTTTTAAATACTACTGAAGTCAGTTTCATTCTTGACCATTTCAATACCTATCTTTAAAACAACAACAAAAACCCCAAAACACCAGGCAGGGTGGCGCACGCCAGTCATCCCAGCACTGGAGAGGCTGAGGCAGGAGGATTGCAAGTTCAAGCCCAGCCGGGGCAACTTGGTGACTCAGCACGACCCTGTCTCAAAATGAAAAATACAAAGGGCTGGGGATGGAGCTCAGTGCGAATGCCTTGGGGGTTCCATCCTCAGCACTGCAAAAATAAAAAATAAAAAAGATAAAAACTCTGCAAGGAGCCTTCCCCTACTTTTCTGATGTTCTGTGCTTGCTTCTTTCTCCCGACTGTGTTGCCTAAGATTCACCTACTGTTAATTGTTTTCAAAGCTTTTGATCTTGTCAATGTGAAAGAACCACTTCAAAGACACCCATTTAATTCTGACTTTCAGGGCTGGGATTTAGCTCATTGGTGCCGCTGCTGTGTCACAGCTGCTGCCTCAGAAGTGCAGGGTCCTGGGTTCAATCCCCAGTACAATATACTCCATTCTGACTTTCATCTGTTTCATCCCCATTTGGGTTTATCCTACTCTTTCAGAGCTATTTGAATTGGACCTAGGCTCATTTATTTATTTTTTAAGTTCGTGTGTTTTCAAAACTCGATTATCGGTATGTAAAGGGGATGACTTTTCCTCTGGATTTCGCTTTGGCCGCCCTGCAGGGCTTTCATGATGATCATTTTGGATTTCTGGTATTTTTGAGTTTGGAAGCTGGCTCTCCGTAAGTGCTTAAAATGCCCAGGCTGCGCTCGAACTGGAGAACCTCCTGCCTCAGCCTCCCGGAGTGGCCACTGGGTGGCCAGGCGTGTACCACCCTGCTCTGCCACTGCAGGTTCTGACACCCGCTTCCTCTGTGCTTAGGGTTATTCAAGTCTAGTTTTTGACACCTTGCTCTGCCAGCACTTGCAAGGTGCCCCCTTGCCGAGGCCGGTTGGTGCTCACGAAGGCCTTCTGTGATCCCTGTGCTGGCTGGGGTGAGGTTCTGCTCCAGGGTGGCCTCAGTGTCCCCAGAGAAGGCAGCGGTGCCCAGCACTGGGCTGGGGAGGGCTGAAGGCATAAGAAAGACTCCACAGGCCGGTCGGACGATCTCCCTTTAATACAAAGTCGGTTTATCTACATACAGAGGTGGGAAACCACCCAGCTGTTTCCGTTTGAATAAAGTGTTGAAAGCAACTGGCAGACCTGCTCTTATACAAAGAGAAAACCCTGGCAGGGTGGGGGTCCCTGGGTCCCCAGGAGGACGCCGCGGGACCCCACAGAGCTCGGTGCCCTCCGGGTGCTCAGGCCGTGGGGCGGGGCCTCAGGACTGTACTTGATATGTCTGAAAATTTAATTAAAAAAAGTAGGGGGGAAAAGGAATAATAGAAACCAGGAAGAGGAGGACATAGGCAGGGGGGCAGGCCAGGCACAGCTTGCTACGCTGGGAGGAAAAACAAAATTCAGGAGAGCCAGGCAAGGGGACGTCTCGGGTCGGGCGAGTTCTCCACTGACTCATGGTCGTATTCTACCGTGAAAAAATAGACCGTCTTTGAACAGAATATGAAAAGCAAAAGTCGTTCTTTTTTAAAGTCCTTGACTGGCAAGTCTTTTTTTTTGTTGTTGTTTTTGTTTTTTCTTCTTTAAAAAAAATGGAAAAAAAATACGCTATTAAAAAAAAAAAAAGAAAAGAAAAAGAAAAAAAGGAAATGTCACCAGATACAGTTACACCGAGAGGCGGAAAAGAAAGCTGGGTTCTGCCCATGCCGCTGCCCGGCCCAGCGGCCCCAGGCTGGGGACAGGAAAGGCTCCGTCCTGACCGGAGGACAGGTGGGTGGAGGCTGGCTCCCGCCCTGG